CAGACCCCAGAAGTTCCTGAGAGCTAGTAGCCCTGAGCTACATGCCAGAGCAGCTTTTTGTACTGATGGGGCCAGCACAGGGCAGCTTTTTACACTGCTGGGGCCAGCACAGGAGCTTGCCCAAGGCTCTAGCTCCCCTTGGCTACAGATCTGGAGGGGTGTGGGGAGCAGGCAGGGTTATTTTGCCCCAAGTGGCACAACTTGCCTCACATGAAAGTGAATGTCCAGGCACGTGCACTGAGGCAAAAAGCCCCATCTCAAATTTGCACCACTTCTATTTGAGCTGCTGCAAGTGCATGTGCCTACATGTGTGGATGCACCCTTAGAGTGTGATCCCATCCAGGCTACAGGTGATAAGAATGGGGTACTTAGAAAGATCGCTTTCTGGTATTATAAATCTGCATAATATTTTAAAGAGGTGCTTAATTTTTCTAGCTATATAACAATGTTGTTATGACAAAGGACTAATTTTTGAGACAATAACAATGTAGTTAACTCTGTCGATTCTATGATTGCTGCCTTAATGGCTGCCTTGTTAAACATCGGAAACCGATTAAAAGTGATTCTATATTAGAACACCCGTATAACTTATTTGTCTTCTGTCCATTTCTGTCTTTTGTTATTAACTCTTTATGCTTTTATAGTGCCTGGCACCATAGGGCACCAGCCTCTAAACACTACAAATAAATAAAACAAAACAGTAATAACAGTAGTAAGCTAGAAGCTATCAGAGGGTATTCATACCTTCAAAAGGCAGTAAGTACCTACCTTTAACATCATTCAGTGTTGATAACATTTCATTGAAGTGAGCAGGAGGTAATTGGTCATGGGAATAGGAGCAAAAGATTGCCAATGAGTCACCTTTGTCTAAAAACATTTAGAGCAGGGGTGCTTAACCTCTGGCCACTGAGGTAAATGCAGTCCATAGAGCTAAAAGTATCTGGCCCATGGGGCTCCCCATAGATTAGGAAATTTGGTGGCAGGGGGAGCTCTGGCAATAAATATGGCTACCAAATTCCCAAACCCTGAGCCTCATACAGGAGGTTAAGGCCAGGTCACATTCCCATCTGGGCATGTTGTAAGGAGTGAATGGAGCCACATTATAAACTATTAAGGTGAAGTAAAGACACCTGAAAACCAATGTGGGATCAGGGATCCCTGGGGCAGTCTCACTTTCTAAAGATCTAAGAATAAGGTGTGGCAGGTGAGGTGAAGGAGAGCAAGTCTGAGGAGTGAGGGCACAGCAACAGCTGAGCAGCCACCAGGGGGCATCACAGCCACCCTGGGGTCGAACACTTCTTACATCAATCTTTTTGGGTGGTGTACTACAAAGTAAGCCCTGAGTGCCACTCCAATCCTCTTCTATTTCTTGATCCCTTGCACTTTTCTCTCCTTCCCTCCTGATCCATTATTCTGCTTTCTCTTTCCTGCCTTATCTGTACTGTTTTCTCTGCTCCCTGCCAGATCTGCCACATGCCAAAACAAAGCAGTTGTGTGTGTCGCTTGTGTCATGTGTGATATGGGTTCGCTACCCCTGCTCTATACACTATCCACTCCAAAGGACCTGAATCAATTTACTCAAGGAATTCTATACCAATACAACAACAACAACAAAAACAACGTATCTTCTTGCAACATAACACCTCCAACAAAATTTCTGCCAGGATGCGTCAGTGATGTATAACAATTCACACCAAACTCTCTTCCATTCTCTCACTGCATGCCTTAAGTGAGGGTTGGTCACATAATGACGAAGAATGGAAAACAGGTCAATTGCTGAAAGTCACTTAGAAATCTAATCCAACAAAATCATTATAGCTTTTAGTATGAAATTCTCTTTGGCACAGGGTATTACTTTACAGCCAAAAACATGGTGGTAGACAGAGCTCATGGAATGCTTATGTGAATATTTAACAAGAACTATCACTGTGAACAAAATGCAAGAAGCTGTTCTTCATCAGCCATTCCAGTGCTAACCAGAATATCCATTAGCTCTAACAAATGTGAAAATATCCTCATATAAGACTAAAAGGGTTTTATTTTCTCAATTGAGTGAAATGTGAGAGATTTAACTCTGAGTTTACCATAGTGAGTTGTGCTCTAACTGCTAACCATACATGTTTATTTCGAATCTCTCACATGCAGTTTTGTGCATGAATTCTTTTTGGAACCAAATGCTACAAGAAGGATGAGAAAAACATTTGTTGATTGCATATACTATGATCCATAATCAATTTGGCTATTCTGTTTTTTGTTTTTGTTTTTTTGCCTGTAGCATTATCTAGTATTGACTGACCTAGAGGTTTTTCTCAACTATCAAAAGATATCAAGTCTCTTCAGTTTGTGAACTTCTAAGAAATGCTGTTATTACTGTTAGAGATATCTACTTTTAAATGAAAAAAAATGAAAACAATCCTTATTTATCACTGGTTTTCTGAGAAGTAGTAGCAGCATACAAGATGGAACCTAGCAATTAATAAAGTTACTACAGGGAAAAAGCCCAACAAAATATATCTAGAACAGTAATCTTTGCATAGTATAAGCTTGTAGCAAATATTGTAACAGAATTGTTTATAAGTAAAAATTAGTGTAATGCTTCATTATAGCAATAGAAAAAGGAAGGGCAGCATGTCTTAGAGGAAGAAGACTAGAGTGACTAGGATCTAACTTTTCTTTGAAACATTAACTTTCTATTTATATTGTACTAATGGTCAGTCATGGGTGAAATGAGACTATATACCTCATTTAAAGCATTGGTTGCACCAAATTAAAGCCACTCTTTAAAGGCATGTTGCCGTATTAGCATTGGTTTTATTTTGTCTGTCAATGATCAGGGATAATGAACAACTGATCAATTTCTTTTTTTTGTCTGTGGATAATATTTTGTTATATCTAATTAGTACTAGGGAAACCACAATGATTTTTGAATCTGTTGACAACAGATTCCCACTCCAACATGCATGCACACAGGCTAGGAGAATATAACAGAAACTTATGTACTGTAAGACCTCTCTGAAGGTGTAGTGACTTGTAAATTGCTACTACTGTTGGGCCTGCATTCCTAGAATGATCCTGGCAGGGAGTCCCACAGCTCACAATTTTCTCTCTCTCAGTAGTGGCTAAAGCAGCCCCAGTGGTAGAACTAGTGCAGATTCTACTGCTTCCAACCATCAGTTCCTTTACAACAGGGTGAGAAAAAATAAAAACAAAACTACTACAGCATAGTTACTGAACTCTCAATTGTGTGTTGGGCAAGGTGTGTAAGAAATATTAAACTGTATCCATCACCAACATCCTTTCAACCAGAACCACAGTAAATCAAGAGAAAACAGGAGTACCTGAACCTTATTTTAGTCATCTATACCTCACATTTGCCTAATCTCAAGATTGTCGACTGGAGTCTCTGGGACCTCTTTGCTAGATAATATCAGAACAAATTTAGAGTAGTCCTGTCAATACCCACCAGATGATGTAAACACTTTATCATATCTTAGTCACCTGTAGGAAAGACCACTGAAAGGTTGAGTAAAAACAGCACACAGAATTTCCCCCGTTGATCTCCAAGTGAAGATCATCCACCAAGTCCATGACTAAAGTTTCTGCATTATATTCAAGATAAAAACCAGCCTGACAAGGGCCCAGAAAAATGATGTTATCCAGATGTGCTTGGAGATGTTGGCAACTACCTGTTTAATGACTTGAGGAAAAAACTAACTTTAGAGTTCTAAGGGATGGTTTCATATTTACTGGCTTGGTAAAAAGGCCTTAAAGTAGGTGTGTATTACATTTATGTACTTTTAATACTACCTTTAATACTGCTTTGTGTTGACAGAGCAGCTGAAATGGTTTTGCTATAAATGAGAACTAGGTCAACTGAGCATAAGGAGAATGTTCATCTGTGTAACATTGTCCACGTTGTTATGAGCATTTGTAGGAACTTTGGAGCAGCATAAGCAGATCACTTAATCCTTTCTTAGGTGTCATCTTTGATCAGCCAACTGTCTATCCAGGGTACTGATCTGTTCCCATCATTTGTAAATAAGCACTTCAGAAATATATCAAAGAAAACCCAAAAAGTTGTGTGTAATAGTCAGTATCATGCTTGGAGCACAAAGCCGATATATGGATGTACACGTATGAACCAGTCACAAGGTGAATGTAACATCAGAAACACAAATTGTCCACTAGAAGAGGAAAAATCACTTTGCAGATGTGTACAAGTGTCACAAGATGACTCTCGAGCCTTTCCAGCATTACTAAATGGGAGAGGAGTTTTTGCCATATAGGAAGGAAGTTTTGGTTTGGAAAAGGGTTGGCATCATTGTGCTTGAATACAGGTTCACTGTCATTTTGAGCACAGTGTGTGAACTTTCACCAGAAGGAAAATGAAATCAATGTGGTGCAAAATTAATTCCAGCCTTCTTTATTTTACATTTTTGGTAGCATCTGGAACAAAAACTACTAGGCTTTTTTTAAACACTGTGTAGGATATTTTGACAGCTTTCTATGCCAAGAGGATATGGAAGTGCGACAAGCTTTTCAATGATGTCAATCTAGACTGAATTATTGTTACTAATGATCTGTAGTATGCAATTCTGGAGCCCCTTTTTTACAATGCTGATGCCCTTGATGTTACTAAGGAACACTAAGCACCTTCAAGAGATCTGAGAAATACAATGAATGGCAGACTAAATGCTGTGGAGCCATTTAAAACCTCATTGACTAGGGTGACTAGCAGGTGGAAGTTTATAAACTTTAATCCTGTTACAGTATTGGCTGAACCTCCTAAATATCATGAGTAGTGAGTTTTGTTTGTACATTTTTAATAATTTGTGGTGCAGGGTTTTATTTGGGCAGATCAGGCTCTTAAGTAGAAGCACCACTTAATATTTGGGCCACAATCTTTATTCTTCTTGAGTAATTCAGTTCCAAGGACCACGACTTTAACCAGCTGTATTTTATGAAAATAATAAACTCATACAGTTTTAAAGCTTGTTCAATGTATATTTTCTTTATTTTTCAAAGCAAGATGGCTTGATAAGGTTGCATAAATAAATGGTATTTATGTAATCAAATTATACTTTCCATTTCTTGTATGGTTTCTCCAACAGCAGTCAGAGAACAAACAGTATTTTGTTCAGGATTTTTCTAAAGTGCATGTAAAGAAAACGTTGTAACACTTTGCAAGGGGAGAGGGTACTTTAACATTTGCTTCCATGTTCCTTTACTAAGAGTCAACAGGCAGCCATACAACCAAAAGACACAGCATAATTAACTTTGTTTAAATCCTGCACCACTGAATATACAGTACTTAAAACTATTTTTCACTACTCCTGTTATAATATTTAAGGTTTACTATACTTGTTTCTATAAATTAAATGAAACATTCATTACATAAAATATAAAAACCACAAATTCATTTCTCTATAATTATGCTATATAAATTATCACAAAGAAACAGATGAATGAACACAGACTGTTGAATAAAACGTAATGTTGGTGAACAGATAGTATCAGTAACAGCTTATCTTCATAGTAAACATTAAGTTAATGTGAATCCCATTTGAGTTCATTTAATTAAGAAGCTGAAAAGAAAAGGAAAATATGATTAAATGCTGAAAATGCATAAAAATTGGCTTCTTAAAATTATTTTAGCAGAATAAACAAGGACTTTACAACATAAATTCATTAGAAAAAATAATTCAGTACCTGTGGGAAATACTCTTGTAAACATTTTCATATCACATATTAAGTAATTACCCAAGCAAGCATGAAAAAGTTATGAAGATAAATAAGACTAGACTTACTGTATGAACTTGAAGATTACCCCACTAAAATATTATTTAAAAAATAAACATCAAGAATCTGTTTCCCCCCCATTAAGTTAATCTTTTGGTCTTAAGAGTTAAAGAAAAACAAACAAAAAACTGCCACTTCTATGAGATATTTAAACATTTGTGTTCATTCCAAAGATTTATTTAAACCCATTTTTCAGAGCACACATATTCTGGCAAGAGACAGTATGTCAACAGATATTTTCAAAAGCTTTTTTATTTATTAAAGTGTGTTGAAGTGGAGTTGAAATTACATCCCTGTATTTATTACTGTTTAATTTTCCTTGTAATGAATGGAATGAAAACTTGTATTACATAAACATTATATATACATATGCATACATACATATGTATGTACATATATATGTATGTACTCGTACACATATACATGTACGTACATATGCACACACGTATATATGCATGTATGTATATATACATACACACATATATATATAAATATATATAAACACTTATATGGCATTTTTCATTCAAGAATTCTATAACAGGGGAAACTGATACACAAGAAGAGAAGAGTTGTCTAGACTCACCCAGTGAATGCATAATAAAGCAAAGAATATATACATATTATTTTTGTTTTGGTGCCTTCTACAGAGCTGGAATTCTAGATGAACAGAAAAGCTGGGAGGGATTTCCATAGATTCAACAGAGATTTCTTCTTTAGCTTCTTATAAACTATTATTTTACAACTTCTTACAGATATGTAGAATTCTCTAGCATGTTTGATACTGTGCACTTATCTGGACCCCTTATCTGTTCTTTGTTTACCGTGTAATTTTTTTATAATTACAAAACTTGCATACACATTTTGTATAATTTAAAAATATTTTCCAATTTGAAGATATGCCCTTGCCACAAAAAGTGTATGAGATAAGTCATGTGGACAATAAAAAAGAAATGACAAATGGCTGGAAGTTGGAGGATTAGGTGAATATTGAAGCAAAAACAGCGGATCAAAGTGGACAGCAGGATGAGACATGAAGAAAGAAAGAGCATGCGAAGCGGAAAGGACGTGTAAGGTGAAAAGTGTAAAGCCAAAAGTACAAAAATGGAATTTAATTGAGAAATAAGATAATAGGAACAGTAGTGACTACAAGAGGAGGCAAGGAGGCAAGATGGCAATATGGGGCAAGAAGGGACAACAAGGGGCAAGAATTTTAAGGGTATGAACACAAAAAGATCGGAGGTTTTTTAAAAAGGGAACATTTCAGAAGGGCAGCAGCTGTTACATTTTAATTGCTGCTCATGGGCAAGTTCAGAATGACATAAATGAACGAAGTAGTGTTGAAGTTGGAGTGCTTTTGCTATATTTGTATTGTTCTCAACTTGTCCACAAGTAACAATTAGAACATAACAGCTGTTGCCTTTTTAAAACGTGTCTCTTTTGAAAAGCCTCCAAATGTATGTGTGTCTATACCCTTAGAAAGCCCAGGGTGATGAGAGTGCATTTGATTTGAGATGAGAAAACAAGGAAGAGGATATAATATGGTTGGATACATGCAAAGAGAAGGTGATTTTGACAGTGGTATTTAGGAAGCCCTGGTTGAGAAAGATGTGATAACCAGTGAGGTCAGGTTATGGTAATCAAGAGAGGACATAATTTCTTGTTACATTTAAGGGAAATTACCATCAGAAGGAAGAATCGCACAGACAAAGTAGAAGAAAGGAAAATTTAGGAATGTTTACAAAGAAGAAAAATTAGAAGAAAAATGGCAGATTATCCCACGAATCTGGCAATGGTGATAAGGTCATAGAAGAGAGGAGTTAACAGGAAAGAATGAAATTCGACTGAAAGGAGGCAGTTCTACACAGTGACTGACTAGTTAAGAAAACATGTCAGAAAGACCACTATAGATATAGAGGCTGGTGGTAGAAAAGTAGTTTGGAAAACAGCAGCATAAATTTGGTAAAACTAGAAGCCAAGAGAAATAAATGAAAATCGACTGAGGATATAATCCTGGAGGATACAACTCCATATCAAAGACAGGGAGAAGCAGCCAAAAAAGGATATAGTAAAGCAGTATTTAAGCAAGGCTGTCAGATAATTAGGAATATTACAGTTGTGAAGTGACAAAGCAAACCATGATAAACATCGGAAGTGTCGAAGGTGGCAGACAGATCAAGAAGGATGAAGACAAAAGAGTAAACATTGGCTAAATTTAAGGCTAAGGCTAAATCTAAGGCTATATACAGGTATCTTCTCTACACTGGATCTGTTATGCTGGGATGTGTCCTAGCATAGGTGATACCCTTCAATGGTGTCTACAGGTGGTGTCCTGGGTGCTGTGCCCCACTCAACTGGGACATGTCTGCAAAGAGGGGAACCTCTATAGGTGCAGCAGCATGATACATGCACTATGGGAATCCTCTGCAGGAGAATTTCTCATGGCAAGTGTAAGCAACTGTGGAGGGGAGGTGGGGAATGGGGTCTCCCAGGGGGGTCTCTGCTTAGCACTTGCAGACCATGCCCTAAATCAGGGTGCAGCAGAGCAAAGTCCCTTTGCAGAAGAGCTCACCAGGATCCGTTTGAAGGGGACATTGCTAGGGCATAAGTCTGCAAGTGCAGGGGGTTTCTCACTCCACACTTGCAGACCAGGCCCTGGGAATTCCCTTGCAGTGGGATTTCTGGTCATACAGAATCAGACCACTGAAGCACAGGAATGCTTGCTTAGGGTGGCTGGAGAGCCCCAGGCTGCCCATGCTCTCCTGTCATAAGTTAAAAGTCATTGTCAACAAAATGGTGGCACTAACTATGACCACAAATTGTTGTGCTCTCAAATTTAGGCATTTATGGTATGACAAATGGCACAGAAATTCTTAGGTTTTGTGGCAACACAGTGGCAACATCTGTTTGCAGCCTAAGAGGTACTCAAGTACCTACTGGGAGGGAGATGGCTGTGAACTTAGGAACTATGGTAAAGGGGAGGGCACCCAGAAACCAAATCTCCTAAGAAAAAAAACTAGGGCTGTGCTACCACTAAACTTAGGAGCTTCCCATGAAGGGGCAGTATCTACCATGCACATTCTTAAGACCTATATGAATTGAATTCCACTATTTGACTCAGATGAGACTGATTTATCTCTCATCATGAAACAAACTTTGTGCTGCTTCTCTCTACAGAGAAAGTAAAATGGTAGATGGCAAGCCAAGAAGGTGAAAGATAGAGGGAAAATGACATTTTTAGACATGTATGTGGCATTTTGACAAAAAAATGTAAATTATTCAGTCTTTTATTTATACATTAAGCATTCCTGAGAGTTTACCCAAGTTAAAGAATTAAGTCAATTTTACAGAATACAAGTTTGAACATAAATCTCAGTAAATATTTATTAGAAATAGATTTACCAGTTCAGACATTCAAAGTAAATCAATTTAATTATGCAAGAAATGAGGCTGGTAATAGCAACTGTCAAAAACATCTGAAAGAAAAAGGCTGTATTCAAATCATGAACAAATTTCACCTTTTATCTTCAAGGCTCCATATAAACAAATGTTCTTTCTGCTAAATGTTAATGTCTAAAAAGTTAAACATTTTTGTACCATGCTATTACTTTACTGAGGGGCCTCAAAGTAAAATCCTACTATGTTCACTCAAGTTGTGTTACTGTATTGAAAGAAGTGCTGTCAACAGGGTCTACAAGAACAGCACATAGGGGTTACATACTGAAATGAACTCATACAGTGTCATAAGACATTTCTAATTTTCACAATGCTTTTGTTTAGTTGTGTACTAAAAGAGTTTTTCCTGGCTCCAGGGTACATTTTCTTTGTTTTGGTTGCATGAAGTAGCATTCTCCAAATAATCCTACAATAGTTCATGTTTGATTTTATTTTCATTATATAAACATTACAAATCTGAGGTGTGTTCCGTGTTACAAATTTGTTATATTTATAATGCCACCTAGGAGATTAGTTCCCCTTTTCTGTTTGTCAGTGCCTTGCATGGTTATTCTTTCTTTCTTCTATACTTCTCTTCTTGTTTCCTTAAGTTTTTCCCGCATCAGTGACATTCATATTATTTCTTTTGGCTTAATTGAAGATTCTACCATAATATTTATATATTTCCTAAGTGCAATGGCTGCTAAGTATCATAAAACAAAATTTTGCAACTATAAGTATTATTAAAAACAAATAAAAATAGTATAAAGAGCTATAGAGTTTTTAAAATATTTAAAAAACATTTTTACAGTGGTGAAAAATTGTCTAAAATGAAACATATTAAAAAGCAAAATAAATAAGGTATCCTATTCTCCTGTAATGACTTATAGATTTAAAGTAACAGTTAAAGTGGTTGGTAATCTAATTTAGCTTAAAAAAGTGAAGTTTATCAGATTAAACACCCCCGAATTTCATTCATTTACATGTTATTAAATTGGGAATCTGCTTACCTCTATAGGTGACAGATCAGGCAGTTTCCTTCAATCTGTGTTCAAAATGCAGTACCAAAATACTAAGACTTCTCATTGTGGAGTAGAACAATTTGTGCCCACCAATTATGCAATTACAAACAATATTGAGCAAACTCTCTAGTGCCCAACAGACAGCATGGCACTAGACACAGCCTTGCCTTGGCAAGAAATGATTAAACTGTCAGTACATATCCACTGCCATAACTACCATGAAACACTAGTATCGGTTTTATAGCACATTATATTTTACCCAGCTCCTGAATTCTTTTCACACAGGACAGATCAGAATGACCCTCCTCCCTTTTTATAGGCCTTGATCTCCC